GCTGCCCAGCTGCCCTGCTGGGGAAGCCTTCTCTTGCTAGCCACGTTGCTTGCCCTTCTGGCAGCTCCTTGGATGCTTGGCGTGGAACTGGCCACCTACAGCCCTCGACACCCGGGTTGATGCCCATCCCAGCTCTGCCCGGGGAAGGGGGAGATGGTTCCCCACCTGGCGCAGCAGCCACGGGCTGAGTCCGTGGTTGACCACAGACCATGAAGCCCCTTGCTCCAAAAGCCTCTCAAGGTGGGGAGCTGACCCCATTAGCCTGGCAGCCTCTGGCACAGGCGTGTGAGCCCCAGGAGGTGACACGGATCTCGTGGCCAGCACGCTCAGCTCAGACCCCACCCCAACACCAGGGCTGAAGCCCACTGGGGAGGGGAGAAGCAACCTTCAAATGAAGCTGGGAGCAGCAGTGTCTGCTGAGGATGGGCTCTGGGTTTACCAGTGTTGAAAGGGGGCACTGGTCAGGGTGGAGAGACCCCATGGATGGCTCCTGCCCCACACAGAAGGGGCTGCCAAGCAGCTCTGCATGGCTGGAGAAGCCCCTGTGCAGAGCAGGGCGGCTCCACTATTCCAGCAGGCAGAGTGCCCTGGAGCAGGAGAAGAAACTCCTCTGTGACTGCCAAGCTCCCCCAGCATCCCAGAGGACCACGTCTCCTCTGCCTCTCAGCTTCACAGCCACGCAGAGAGGGCAGGAGGGCGAGAAGGTGGCGAGGGAGCCACGACTGCCCCTCACCCTCTCAATCCCTCTTTTCTTCCAGCACGAGCAGCCTGCCAGGGTGCCTGGGTGGCAGGGCAGCCAAACTGTGCCCTCTTTGTCTCCTGGGTGAGATCCCTCCTCGCTGCAGGGTGGGGACGTGGTGAGGTTCCATCGGGTGGCCACAGGGTGAGGATGGCCACTGGCCCACGCTTGCAGGTTGCCCACGCTGTGGCTGCTGGCGTGGGGCTGGCAGGGACACACCAGCAGCTCTCTGCTCCCAGCCACGTATGTAGGAGCCAGCAGGCGGGAGGGACTCCTCTCCCCCTCCAAAAAACACGGCCCAGCATATTTCCTGGAGGCATTTCAAGCTGCCTCGCTCTCCCTGCGAGCTCTTCAGCCTCAGGATGAGGAGTCAGGACAGGGCTGGAGCCCTGCTGCCCCCGTGGCCACAGCGTGCCAGCACACAGCCCTGGGCACGGCACGGGTGGCTGCAGAGCCCACGCCAAGCCACGGGGCTCAGGGGCAGGTTTGTCCTGCTCCACCCTGGGTGCCAGCCCTCAGCAGGCTCCATTCCACAAGCAGGGGCCGAGCACCAGGTCTGGGGATGGCTCCTTCTCTCCCTGGCCACGCTGGCCCTGAGGGGCTGGTTGATGCTGTCCTGTTCAGTGTCCACTCTGAGCTCTGGAAATCTCAGCTTGAAAGTGGTTTCATCTCAAAAAAAATAAGGCAGAACTTGTTTACCAGGATTTACATCAGTCCTGAGCAGCGTGAGCATCCTGTGCTTCTCAGGGGGAAGGGAGAGCTGGATGAAACCCACACTGAGTCTTGTCACCAGCGAGTGGAGCATAAATATAGCTGCACCAAAACGTGCCTGGAGCTGCAGCAACCTGTGCTCACAGCTACTGCTCCCCTCGGATGGGCTGGAGGGCACCCAAGTCCTCTCCCCTCCCTCCTGTGCAGAGCCAGTGCAGGTGAATCTCAGGCACCTCAGCACAGAGCTCTGACCTCACCCAGATTCGGACCACGTACTCCATATCTCCATCCTCTGCTCAGCTCCAAAAAAAAAGGAATGCCCATAAGCAAAGATTTTGCAAGTGAATAACCCTTGGGATGGAGGTTTCTAGCAGGCCTGAGGTGAAAAGGAGGGAGGTCAGATAACCAGGGACATGTCTGCAGCCCCATTTTTTAAGGAAGGATTCACTCAGGTCCAATTTTCCACCTCTGCTACCAAGTGCCACCAACCCCACGCAGGGCTGTGACCACATCCAACCCCGCTGGACCCTCAGCTCACAGGGTGCAGCTCACCAGCCTCTAACCCTTCCACCAGGCACTGCTGATGGTTCCTCCCCTATTTCTCCCCTACCCAGGTCCTTCCAGCACCAGCACCATGCGCTGGGCCACCATCCTGCTCATCGCCGGGCTCTGCGGAGCCTCCCTGGGCCAGTACAATGAGGAGGAGGACATGGCTTGGCTGCAGTACTACATGAGGCAGTCCCGCATGTCCTCCTACAACTACATGCCCTACTACGAGGAGGAGAACACCCCCTACGTGTACTCCTACCTCCCAGCTCCAGACACGGAGGCAGAGCCTGGCCCCGAACCTCAGCAAGCCCCTTCCTGGCAATGTCCTCAAGAGTGTGATTGCCCCCCAAACTTCTCATCAGCCATGTACTGTGACACCCGCAACCTGAGGTACCTGCCCTTCGTCCCCTCCCGGATGAAATACGTCTACTTCCAAAACAACCTCATCACCACCATCCAAGAAGGGGCTTTTGACAACGCCACGGAGCTGGAATGGCTCGCGCTGCACAACAACCAGATCGCCAGTGAGAAGATGGGCAAAAAGGTCTTTGCCAAGCTCAAAAGGCTGGAGAGGCTGTACATGAACAACAACAACCTAACCAAGATGCCCAGCCCATTGCCCCGGTCCCTGAGAGAGCTCCACTTGTCTTACAATCAGATCTCCAAGGTCCCCTCCAATGTTCTGGAGGGTCTGGAGAACCTCACAGCCCTGTACCTCAGCCACAACTTCATTTTTGAGATGGGAGCATCCCTCAAAGGGCTCAAGTCCTTGATCCTTGCTGATCTGAGCTACAACCACCTCAGGAAAGTGCCTGATGGGCTCCCAATGTCTTTGGAACAGCTCTACCTAGAGTACAACTACATCAACACCATCCCCGATGACTATTTCCAAGTCTCTCCCAAGCTGCTCTATGTGCGGATGTCCCACAACAGCCTGACAAATCAAGGTCTCTCGACCAACACTTTCAACAGCAGCAGCATCCTGGAGCTGGACCTTTCTTACAACAGGCTCCAGAAGATCCCCCGGGTCAACACCAACCTGGAGAACCTCTACCTTCAAGGGAACCAAATCAACGGTGAGCAGAAACGCGTCAACCCCGGCTGGGTGGTGGAGGGGATGGTGGTGGAACAGAGGGATGGGGAGGTGGAGATGCAGAACCTGTGCCTCCCTGTGGGACACGAGCTGGGGTAACCATTGGAGCGAGAAGCTGGAATTTGGTAGACTTCTAGGTGGCCCTCAGCAAGGCAGGAATAGGGCCCGTTGTCTCCCAAGCCCTGGATGCTCCCTTGTGATCCCACAGAGCCATTGCTCTGCTTTCCCTCAGATCCTTGTGGTCCCTTCCAACCCTGACAGATTCTGATCTGTTTTAGCAGAGGACTTTAGAGCCCTAGTGGCTCAATGGTTGGACTTGATGATCTTGAAGGTCCCTTCCAACCTAAAGGATTCTAGGATTTAGCAGGAGCTGGAGCATCATCAGGTTGGAGATGCCAGAAGAAGCCAACTGTGGGTAGAAGCTGATGCACAACCTGGGGAGGGGGCTATGGCTTTAGTCAGGCTGGGGGGGACCCAGACAGAGGTGGAGGGTCTCCACAACCACAGTCACTCACCCTGCAGGGGACAGGGACACACCCTGTGGTGGCCGAGGGTCTGCAGCACTCGGGGCCAGCACAGCCCCTTCCTCCAGCACCTTCTGCCCACCTTCCCATCTCCCAGGCCCCAGAGTCCCCCCTGCCAAGGGTCGTGGTCTGCAGCCAAAGGACACATCCTTGCTGGGACTGGGACAGACAGGAGCTCTTGGTTATTAGAGCCATCAATGCAGCATCTTCTGCCAGGACGAAAATTCACTCCACTTAATACACAAATAAATAAAAGGAACAGATTGTTCTGGGGCTGCTATTTATAAAAATAAGTTAGGAAAAAAAAAACCCAAACCCTAAGCAAGCAATCTCCTGGAAAAATCCAGCCTTGGTCCTCTCAGCTGAGGGCAGGACCCTCTCTGGAGCCCCTGAGCAAGCCTGGGATGAGGATGAGGACGTGTTGGTGCAGCCATCAGCTGGTGCAGACACACAACCCTGCACAGGGGAGCCGACAGAAACACACCAACAAGAACAGATTCCCAAATGTTTGCTTTCAAAATCTGTAGCTGTAAACGTCTGCCCACAAATGCCACCCGTGGGGCCCTTTGGGGCTTTACCCCAGTTCTTCCTCCAGCTGCAGGATTTGTCCCTGACCTTTAAAGCACCCCCAGGAGCCAGGGGCTGTGGGGACAAGGGGGCAGCACCCCACTCCTTGTGGGGGCACAGCCCATCAGGGCTGGGGTCGTGCCCCACCAGCCACCCAAGAGGTCCCCACTTGCCTCCTCGGCCACCCAGGGCTGGCAGCCCCCAGTTGCCCCAGTCTGTGGGTTCAGGGGTCCCCCAGCACCCTGCTGCCTTCCCCAGCAGCCGCCCGGCCTGGAGCTTTGCTGCCATCTAGTAGGTCGCTTCTCTCCCAAATCCTGCACAAAAATTTTGGAGTCTGTTCCATTCTCTCCCTCCAAACCTAACCCAGACAGGGGACAGGAGGGGCACAGGGGTGTCCCCCCCCCGGACATGCTGCCTAGGTGGTCCCACGGCCCGGGGCTGGAGGCTTTACCCTGTGAAGTCCCACGACAGAATCCTTCTGACTGCAGCTAGGAGCATCAGTTACCCTTTTAGCTTAAGGGCAGAGGGTATGGAGCCCAAATTTCCAGGAATAATTGCTGCCTTGGGGGTGCTTTCATTTCTTTTCCTGCCCACCTTCACATAAACCAGTTTGGTACCCTCCCATTCACCTCCAGAGCATCCCCCCTCCACCTTTCTCACCTCACCCCCCAGAGACCACTCACACCACGGAGGTCAGAGCTCAGCTCTCCCTCTCCTCTCCCCTGCAGAGTTCTCCATCAGCAGCTTCTGCACCGTGGTGGACGTGATGAACTACTCCAGGCTCCAGGTCCTGCGGCTCGACGGCAACGAGATCAAGCGCAACGCGGTGCCCCCGGACGCCCCTCTCTGCCTCCGGCGTGCCACCGTCATCGAGATCTGACCCGCCCCCCCTCAGGACTTGGCTCCCCCCTTCCCGGGGAGATGCCCACTCCCGTTTTAATGCAGCTTGACAGTTTGACTTGGCTTCCGCGGCAGCGCGATGCGGGTGCTCCGATGCCAGCCCCCGCGGCGGGCAGCAGCCCTTCCTCACACCCCTCACTCCCTCCTCCCGGCTCTCCAGCCACAAAAAGGGGGACAGGTCCTGGCACTGTGCCCCCCTCTGACCCCACCATGGCCATCCCACCTTCCCCTTCCCCCCTGGTTCGGCTGGGGTGCCGTGGGGGTGGGGGGGGGGGCACGCCACG